TCTGAATCAATTTTTAATAAAATTTGCCATAACATTCTAAAAATTCCAAATAACATATTGATGTAACCAATTTCAGTTTCGATATCAATAAGGCTTCCAATTTTCAAATCAAAACAGAATTCCTGACAGATATTACTATGAGTAACAGATAGTAAGCCAAATACATAATAATACATAATTTATTTTAATCCCTTCATTAGCATCATTAATTACGGATCGGGGTTGTTACAAATGGGGTCGTTATCGGGCTGGCACATTATCACCTCCCAGTAATCTGCATTTTTCATTAGTGTCGACGCAAAATGAAATAACAGCGTACCGAGAAGGGAAGGAATGTTCCTGAGCCGTTGCATGCACTCCAAAATTGTGTACAGTAATTTGTTACCTGTGAGGTTCCTGGTCATAACTTGCTAATTATGAGTACGAACCACATTTGTCAGATTGTTCATGTTTTCCGCTATAATTGACGCACCACTTTTTGCCTTCTTCGGCTTTGCACAACTTGTTGACAAAGTCTGTTTCCTTTCACGTCAGTATCAACTGGGTCCATTAAAGAATCTGAATCCAATTCCATTGTACTTACCAATTCCATCTTATCCCACCACTCATCTAACGCCTAAAACATACTAGTTTCAATGTCAAAGCTAATCCTTGACACTCCTCATTTTGGGTTTCCAAAACAGAGTCTTGAGCTCCAAACATGCAATTTCAAAGGCAAACTTGTGCATGGCGTGTTCAAAAACTTAGAAAACTTATCCACACACATGAATACATGATCCTTGACAAACCTTTAACTCAAAACTCGTGGATTTAACTAAAATTGGGTTTAAAACCTCAATGCATGTAAGTTTCATAAACTCTCTTTTTCAAAGTCCATATTTTTAGCAAAATTGAGCTTTAAGGCTTCTAACATATACAAAACTCTTTTTCAAAACATGATTCAAGAGGAAATATGTGATGATTCAAACATGCATGTGCCAATCATTCATAATTTCCACATGAATGATCAAAATCAAACTTGACATAGCAAAACCCAACATGTTTAGGCATGCAAGTAGAATTCTCTTTTGAATTCTTTCCTAAGACTCCTCAAACATGGAATTTACTTACAAAACTTGATCTAATATGTATGCATGTTAATTTTATGGTCTCAATTCAACATAATAATACAGCTTATGACCAAAATGATGATGTAACACTCATACTTCCATGCATATAAGAATTATAAGCAAATTCTTCATCTTCTTGACAAACTCATGTGAAGTACACGCAAATGATTATGATAATTCCATGAATGCATCTCTACAACACACAATTTTCATGAATTAATAGTCAAGGGCTTACCTAAAGTCTTCAAACACACAAGATCCTTGCCAAACTTAAGCTACTCTAGCAAAATGCCCAACTTCAACTTTAAATCAACACTTTTTCTCTCTAAAATGGAGTCTCTCTCACTCTGGGATGAAATCTCAGATTTTTGCACTAAGGGAAATGAAGAAGATGTGAGCTCACATGAGCTTAAGTCTCATATTTATAGCTATGATGCTCAAATACCTTAACTAGAACATAAGGCTTGCCAAACGCAACTTAACGAATCATACTGAATCAATTTTTAATAAAATTTGCCATATGGCTCTAAAAATTCCAAATAACACATCGGTGTAGTCAATTTCGGTTTCGGGTGCCGATAAGGCTTTCGATTTACATATTAAAGTGAAATTTCAAACAGATATTTCTATAAATAACAGATAGAAAGCCAAAATCATACAAGGTGCAGAATAAATACATAATTTATTTTAATCCTCTCGTTAACATCATTAAATACGGATTAGTGGCTAATTACGGATAGGGGTTATTACAGACAAATAGGTGTGGTGACGAGGGTTTATAATTTTAGTACATGTGTCTTGCTATTTTAATGCCATGGCATTGTGACTTGCCACCTCATCCTTATTTATGCACCGATTCTCCACTCTTTAAATTCATCATATATTTTGTGGTATGTTTTTCCAATCAATTATATCGTATAAATCAAACACAGGATGAGATATAATTTTTTCATAAAAAGTGGATCACACTCATACATGTGAGCCTTACTCATTGTAAGAAGATTGTGTCTCATTCTATTTGGTTTCTATTCACATAGATTTACTCATTTTCAATTATATAAAATATGTATGTATCTATTAGAATTGTGCTATTTAGGCACAAAAAAAAAAAAAATAGTAACTATTCAAACTTAATTATATCATAATTTATTAGGTCTTATTTGTTTACTGAATATAAAGACCGGATATGAGTGTGGGACCAGATAAAATATAAGGTCGGTCCTACATGTTTTTTGTCTCCCTATATTCCGTGTTTGGTTACTCCGGATATAGGGAGTCCGGATAGTATATGATGTAAGGGGATATGCAATATCACCTCCATGGTATTGTATATTTCCCACTGTCGGATATAGCTCATCTTTCATCGAAAGGTAAAAAATAATCACTGTCCTCTTATTCCATCCTATATCTTATCTTAACTAAACATAGTATAGGTGACCCCACAGTATATATAATCTATCTCATATCTTACGACATATTATATTTTATCTTTATCCTTATATATTACATATCCTCCTAAAACCTTTATACCCAATCCGAACAATCAAACGGGACCTTAGAATATTTAACTCAACTTTCTTTCTCATATTTTCTTTAATTATTAAGCAATTATATCTTTTACCCATCATTAAATTTAGATAGTAGAAATCTAGAAAATAAATTAATGTATTATTTTCTTTTCTTTTATTTATTCTCTTCTATTTTATACATATAATAATTTCTCATCTTAATAAAAATTGGGCCACCAAGTGGTCCTTTTTATGTCCGTCATTCATAAATAAAATAAAATATAAAACAAATTAATCTAATAACTATATTTATAGAGCTTTTATATTTTTTGTAAAATATTTTTAAATAATATTTATTGTTTATTTTTTAAAAATAAATCAAGTACTTAAGATAATTAAATATTTTATTTATTTTTAAATGATTAATTCTCATAAACTTAAAAAATAAAATAAAATATTTTACCAAATATTTTACATGGATGTGAGGTCCACATGAGACCTACATGGTGTGGGTCTTACATTTATATGAGATATTTGGTAAAATATTTAAGATCTCTAATATGTTTTTAAAAAATAGCTAAAATAAAATATTAAGATAAAACATGTAATGGGCTAAGATTGGACCGTCCAGTTTATTATTATTATTTTTTGAACTCGACCGTCTAGTCTATTTGAGGGCCGAATTAAGATGTCTAGTCCCCTGATAAAAATGGGCCTTATATCGTGATCGTGACATGGGCATTATTAAGGAGTCTGGATCATCGGCCGTACTTTCCTGCGGCCCTTCCTGCCTTCCTTGCCAAAATGACGTTGTTTTGGTGACAACGACGTCGTTTTACTAAGTTTTTTTTTCCCCTTCTCTTCAAAATCTGAGTTTCCCCTCTTTTTTCACATTCATCTCCTTCTGTATCATTTGTGTTTAACCTTAATAGATGATCTAGACGCGAGACAAAGAGAGACGGAGAGGCGAGAGACGACGACTCTGTAATGGTGAGGTCCTTTCAATCTTCATTTTCACCTAATCTCTACTAATTCAAACCCAAACTGTGACAAATATTTAGGTAGCTCGTGTTATTAAAGAACTTCAAACACAGAGTGTTGTTTATCGCTCTAGATAGTGATGCATAGAGAGAGTCAGAAAGCCATAACAAAGATGAGTGACATTAGTAATTGAAAATAAACAACAAATATACCACAATCAAGTTGCAAAAGTATTTGGACGAATATACCTTTTTTGCATTTTAAGAAATTTACTACTATTAAAAAAAATGTTCCAGAAGAAGCAGGAAAAACAGAGAAAGAAGTGGAGAGAGAGAGAAGGGGCTTATTGCCTCACTGCCTTCAACAAAACGATGCTATCTTTGTAATCCCAAGAGGAAAAGCAATTGTTGGAGTCTAATCCTCTTCTGGATTCATCTTCAATGCTTGAAATTCTAGAGAGAAGGATTTTGTTGGCACTGTTGTTATTGTAGATACAATTATTGTTGTTGTTGTAGATGTAGATGCAATCGTTTCTCTCCGTCGTGTTCGCCTCTACGTCTCTTTCAGTTCGTGTCTCTTCGTCGCTCTCTCTCTGTCTGTCTCGTGTCTAGATCATCTGTTAGGGCTAAACACAATGATACAGAAAGAGATGAAAGTGAAAAACGAGAGGAAACTCAAATTTTTAAAATAAACATGTGTATTTTAATAAAAAAAATAAATTTTTTATATAAAATATATTTTTCTTGGTAAAATGTTTTACAACTAAACAAACATAGCCTTAAGAAAAAAAATTGTAAAAAGACACAATACTACTTTGAAAGAAATGCCCCTCCCATGTTCTTATGTTCTTAAAAAATAAAGGCGTAATTGACTACTTATGAGTTGATAGAAAGAAAAATAACTTGTCAAAAGACTGAGGGACATGCCATGTGGGTGGTATTCGGTGAGTGAGAAAAAGTAAAGTGAGAGAGAGAAATTATTATAAATTTCTTTTAAGGAGTGAGCTGTTGGTTATTATTATAACTAGAAGATCGGATCAAATTGCCAAGGCGCACACCCTTTTTCAGCAGTTCGCACGTGGATTCTGGGTGCACGAACCCATATACCTTTATTCTCAGTTAGGGTTTATTATGAGCTTCGTTCTCACTAACTTCAAAACCCTGTGAAACTACGCGCACTGTCTGAGCAGAGAGAAGAGAGCAATAATGGAGGCCAACGGAGGTGAGTCGTCTCGAATTCTCCGCGAAATTGAGAATTTGAAGTCTGCGAAGAGTGAAATCGAGCGCCAAATATCAGATCTCGAAGCTCAACTTCGTGATATCGATGAAAAGGACGAGACCAAGACGAATTCGACTCGATCGTGTCCTCCACTGTCAAACGGTGACTCAGGTTTTGGCCATGGATTGTCGCCCGATATGATCTACAGATATAGTCGTCAGCTCTTGCTTCCTTCCTTTGGTGTTCAAGGTTTGATTACTACTTACTTACTTATCCATATATATAGAGAGAGATGCATAGATCTGCAATTGCAAATGAACACACTCGAAAGATGTAGGTGCATCGAATCCATGTTTTGGTTTTGTTCTTATTATACTGTTTTACTTTTTGAACCTAAATAATTATAGTGAGTGGCCAGGAATTTACATTTCATGAAACGTAAAATTTAGGGGAGTAGTACATCAATTTTTCTATATATATTTTTTAAAATTTTTATCTGTTAGATTGGATATATGCAGCAATTGTTGTGAAAATTATAGTGTTGTTTTTCTTATAAATCAGTGGTGATAAACAAACTAAATTTATTGCAAAATGGTTTGGATTGCATATTATATAAGATAAAACCCAGGCTTTTTAGAAAACAACAATCTAGCTTCGTGGTTCATCTATAAGGTCATTGTAATATTGATTTGGTATCACCTTATCTTTTGTTTATCCTTCCTGGTTGATTACAGCACAGTCAAGTCTCTTGAAGGCTTCAATTTTAGTTGTTGGAGCTGGAGGGTTGGGATCACCTGCTCTTTTGTACCTTGCTGCCTGTGGTGTTGGTAAGATGTCTACTCTCAATTATGCCTGATGTAATACCATCAAGAAAAGAAAGCACAAAAGCTGATGCTCTTGTGCTACATCAAGTGTTTCCTATTCTAGGTTCTGTTAGTTGATAGAGATTTGTCGTTGATAGCTTGTTTTCATCTGTACCAGACCAAAAGACAAAAAGAAAAAAAAGGTTGCTTTGTAATAATCAAAAGTGGTTTGAACATCACTCTATAAATGGATGGGTGCTTCAATGGAATCATAATATATAATCTTACATTAGGACTTTTTGTTTTGGAAACTAACTATTTTGTTGTTTTTAAATCTTTCTAGGTCGCTTAGGTATTGTCGATCATGATGTAGTTGAGCTTAACAATCTGCACAGGCAGGTAGGATTCTCAATTGTATTCTGATATTTGTAAATCTTCTTTGATGGAGATGATGATGATGTTGCTATAAGTGCTTCCAGGGAGAGAATCAAATTTGTAATTCTTCATCAGCTAACTTGTATTACTATACTGCAGATTATCCATACTGAAGCATATATTGGTCAGTCAAAAGTGGAATCTGCTGCTGCTGCTTGTCACTCGTATGTAACGCTGAATTGACTGACTACTTTGAAAACCTGGTCATGAGTTCCAGTATCTGTGCAGTTATTTTGATACGATAGATCTTACATTGTCATGTCACAAATTATCCCTTTGAATATCTACAACCGTGATATTATCTTTTTGCCTGTATCTAACTCGACAATTTAAATTAGGATTAACTCTACTATTCAGATTGTGGAACACAAAGAAGCTTTACGTACATCCAATGCCTTGGAAATTTTGAGCAAGTATCCTTGATAAAATTAATTTGATATGCTATGATTTCCTCTTCATATTATAGTATATTTGGTATTTTGGGTCAATAAAGCTGGAATATGTTGATTTCCATGACTGTGATGCTTCCTAGATATGACATAGTAATAGATGCAACAGACAATGCTCCTAGCCGTTATCTAATCAGTGATTGTTGTGTGGTATTGGGTAAGGTAAGCTGGCTGCTATCCTCATTTTCTTTTTATAAAAAAGAAGAAAACTTGTGCAAAGACATTATGAAGTTGACTTATAAATGTTGACTTGTATCTGATTCTGCTTAAAATGATTAAGGTGGCAGACCTTCAGTTCTTCTACTCCTAGTTATTCACTGAATTCTCTTTTAGCTCCATTGTCATATATGTTCGTTTATTTATTAGAATCCTAGATTTAAGGACATATTTGATCAAGCTTGTATGTATTATCCAATGAAATAGTTTAGTGTGCATATGTTAATCTTCTGATCATTAACCTCAATGCTTGTGCATGCAGCCTCTTGTATCAGGTGCTGCTATAGGATTGGAAGGGCAGGTAAAAAAACAGTAGTAGCAATTTTCTCACTGATTCCTATATGAACATGTGGAAAACTCTTTATATGGATTTGGGACTACAGAATGTAATTAGCTCTTTTTTATATTGTTCAAATTCTTACTGCAACTGCATCCTCAAATCATTTGTGTAGCTTACAGTTTACAATTACAATGGGGGTCCATGTTATCGGTGCCTATTTCCAACTCCACCTCCTACGACAGCATGTCAAAGATGCTCTGATAGTGGTGTTCTGGGAATCGGTAAGCCATTAATATGTTGTGTCTTAGTCCATTCAATTAGAAATATTGCCTACAATCTTGAATTTAGAGAGAGAAAAATCTGAGTTTGCCTGGGAGTTGTCCTTTAGCTGTCTGTCGTTGTATGCATTTCTCGAGCCCCTTGCATATTTCTAGTTTATCTCGTTACTAGAATTTTATATATTAGCAAGAAGAATGGGTAATCACAAAAGGGGAATGTAAGAGTGATGGACCTGATGGTCAATAACACCCAACTCTACATTTGAAGGCTTTGTCCCAATTGCGTAAGTTTTGAGACGTGAAGTTTAAAGTTTTATGTTGTTGTATTCCTGGCCATATTGCTAATTTATCTCATTGTGAAATTTTTGATATATTATAAATGGGTATCACAAAAGGGAATGTAAGTAAGAGTGATGGTCAAGAACTCTAATTCGACTCGATTTTTTTGATGCTATAATTGGTTAGGCAAGTTTTGTTTCCTTCTATTGGTTGTTTTGTTTTAGTTGCATCATCTTGATGCTTTCTCAATAAAATTTATTATTTATCAAAAAAAAGAACTCTAATTCAACTCTACTTTCAAAGCCATAATCTCAACCTCAAAAGTTCTTCCAGTGTTTGCAAGTCTTACCTAATCAATATATAAAAGTGCATCCTGGATGAGCCCAAACTTACGAAAGCTCACTGAAAGGTGAAGGCATAGCAAAGGATTGCGGGGTTCCTTTAGAGATTGGGACAAGATCTCAGAAAACCTCAGAGCACAGTGAATAACTGAGAAGATGATCTGCAGATTCTCAGTGCCTTGCAGGATTTGCTGACAACATTGCATATTGTGGTCATTTCATGATTTGTGTTCTTTTTCCTCAGCTATCAGTTTTTTAGTTGCCTAACACGGTACTTTGTCTTTATGTGGTGGACCTTGAACTTGCTATGGGAAGGACTAAGAAAGATGCTTTAATATGCAAGCCATTGTGTACATATTTGGAGTCTCCAGTCCAGTCCTTATTTCCTTGCAAATTCACCTGGCTTGCAAGTGATGTAGTTCTTTTATTTATTAGCTCTACTTTTATATAATTTTACAGTTCCTGGTATTATCGGCTGCCACCAAGCCCTTGAAGCTATAAAGATTGCAAGTGATGTTGGTGAACCACTCTCAAGAAGGATGCTTCTTTTTGATGCATTGACTGCACGGATTCGTATTGTATGTTTTTAAAAATTTCAGTTTTCCATTAATAAATTCTCTACTCTCTATTTATTTTTTATTTTTTTTCCAGCATAAACATCCTCTATATTTGTTGAACTTAGTGGACATGCCCAGTCAATTCCCCCTTTTTTTCAATTAGCCTTGTACCATGATTTTGCTTAGGTCAAGATCAGAGGGAGGTCATCACAATGTGAAGTTTGTGGAGAAAATGCAACATTCACTGCAAAGCAATTTCAAGAGTTTGACTACGAGAAATTCACACAATCTCCCCTGTCCATGGTATGTTTATGTTCTTTTATTTCCATTTTAGGCAGCACATTGTGTTTTGATTAGCTTGCTTGAGATTTATTTGGTCTTAAAAAGTGAAATTTGTTATGTTTTCCTCTGCCACAAATTGTTGTTTCATAAATAGATCCAAAGATTATTGTCTGTAAACTATTGAACTGGCTTAAGATAAAATTCATCTCTTCGGTGTTACCCAAGTTGTCATACACTCTAAATATCAAAATGGAATTTACAATTTACAAGCGCAAGGCTCTCTCAATCTCTCTCTGAAGTGCTTCTTTTTATAAACCCAGGATCCGTATTTCATTGTGGAGTTCTATATTGATTCTCTTTCCTTGTTTTAACTTTTAATACTTGCTAGTGTAGAATTTATTCAAGTCTGAAGCCTAGAGAAACAACCAAATCTCATGAGAATGTGGACATAACAAATTACATATTGCAACATAATGCACCGTATTGTTCTGTGTGTGAGATACTAACCATATTTTATGACCTGAATGCATTTATTAGCATTTGTTGTAATACTAATGCCATCAAACTTGCTAGCTGTTAGATCAGTCTGTTGGGTGCATAAATTTCCTCTTATCTTCCTCACCCTCGTGTGACCATCTTCCGTTTGATTGCAGACTCCATTGAAGCTAGACCTGCTTCCTACAGAAGCTAGAATAAGCAGCAAGGAATACAAGGAGAGAGTTGTTAGAGGAGAACCACATGCATTAGTTGATGTACGACCAGCACACCACTTTAAAATCTCGTCTCTTCCCAACTCCATGAACGTCCCACTGTCAAGTTTGGAGGCGAGATTGCCTGAAATATCTTCAGCCTTGAAGAGAGAGGAGGAGCATGCTTCTCTATATGTAGTATGTAGAAGAGGTAATGATTCACAGAGGGCCGTTGATTACCTTCACAAGATGGGTTTCACTTCGGCAAAGGATATCATTGGAGGACTTGAGTCATGGGCCCATGACGTTGATCCGAATTTCCCCACCTACTAGTAAGCATTTGTAATCCATTTTTGGGGTTTTATATACTTTTTATTGTAATCCTTAAAAGGTTAATTATTTATTACATGCTTGTTGACTTTGATGTGTAATTTATTTCATAATCTACTTCCAAGAAGATCAAAGCTTCGTAACTTGGTTTGGCTGTCTTCCCTTCTTTTGTTCTTTTTTCCTTTCTATACGAGTAACAAAAATAAACTTTGACAAAAAAAAAATATTTTTTATTCATTAAATTCAACAAAAAATAATATTTTAAATATTTTATGCATATTTATATTAGCTTTAAGGAATTTTTTTTAAGATCCCTCATATTAAGATTTTATAATATAAATGACATCTAATATTTTCATAATAAGGTTCTTCAAATTGGTCCAGAGAAAATTCACGTCACAGAGAAAATTGGTCCAGACAACGTAGTAACCCTTTCTTCAAGCAACCTTTGCTCTTGCTAGAAATCCAGAGAAAGTTGGAAAAGAAAAGGTTGCACTCGTTGGAGGAAGAGACGGTGGAGGAGTGGTTGATGGTGGACAGAAAGTGCATACAACATCGAGCTGATTACCAAAAAAAAAAAAAAGAAGCAATAACATCAATGGAATTTGCATATTAAGAAGCACAACCATTGAAGGATTGAAATTAAACGTACATACATGGATACAGGTATATGTGAGTGAAATCTATGAAAAAATACATAATATATATAAACAATTCCCATGTTTGATAGTTCTTCTGTGAGTTTGTGATAGGTTTTCTTTGAACTTAATGCTATGAATTTCTCTGGTCCAAAATTTCTCTGGATAAAAATTTTTTCCAGAGAAAATGAATGAAGAATTTCTCTGGATCACTTTAAGCCAGAGAAATTCTCTCAAAATCAATGAAATTCCTAAAGAAACATTTCCAGAGAAATTCTCTTTAACTCAGAGAAAATTCAGGAATCCACATTTGGATCATCTGCAAAGAACGAATATATGTTGTCTTCACAATCTTCAGATTTCCTGATGTATTCAGAAACTAACTTGCAGAGAAATTCTCTGATTTTCAAAAATTAAATACAATCAAGCTGTTATACATCATAAAAGTTCATATCAAGTAAATTTACACAATTATAATAAAGAACAGATCTACGAAATTGGATTTAAAAAATAAACAAATGAGATGTGAAAAACAGAGAAGAATATAATTTATACCAAATTGCATAGACGCGTCGGCCTGAGCGACATTACGAGCCATGGAAGCAAACAGAGCAATGGCGTGCTCAGCAGCAACGATAGTATTCGCAGTCGACGCATTCACAACAAGGCATCCAAGCTTAGTAGCAACCTAGAGATAGACATTGTCGATCCTAACACTAGCCCTTCCCACCACCTTCAATTGGCCATTCACAAGCCTTGTTTGTCATCTACTATATAATCCATCTTTTTATCTTTTTATCTTTTTTCCATCACATCACCTCTCTACTTTTCTGCACATCTTTTCGTAAAAAGACAAAAAATGCACTTTTTTAGTACACCCCAAACCAAAATCTCAAAAACCTGCCTCGTCATTTTCGTCTCACTCCTCACGATCAACGCATCGAACTGCGAGATCTTCGCGCACAAATCTTCGGGAGAGAGATCATAGAGACACTTTTAATGTTGCCAAAGCTTCGAAGGAGCTCGAGGCCGACCTCTTCAAAGAGATCAGATGTTTCATGCTTTTCAATTCAGCTCCACCACCATTGAAGCTATATATATATATATATATATATATATATTTGTGTATGTATTCTAGAGAGAGAGAGAGAGAAAGAGAAGTGAGAAGTTGAGGTTCTAGGATTGAGAAAAGAGAGAGAGAGAGAGAGAAAGTGCTGCTCTGTAGTAGAGGAGGAGAGACAAAGAGTCAAATTTTTCTGATATATGTTTAGGGATCTTAGACATCAAAAAATAATTTTGTAGATCTCTTCCATTACGAAAAGTGGGACAGAGACCCTAGACTAATTTTTCCTAACTTTAATGGTTAAAATGTCCCTTTTTTTTTTAATCGATTTAACTTGATGAAACTAAATAAATAATTTAACTTAAAATAAATTAAAAAATTAAGATTTAAATTAATGATTAAAAATTAAAAAATTATTTCATTATAAGGGTTAAATTTTGATTTTTTTACTTTTTCATCTATTTTTTGGTCCCAAGCAATGATTCTTTGTTTGGTAAAGTTTAGAAATTAGTTAATTTCCATGTCGGCCCTAAAAATTGAGAGAGCAGCAACAGGCATATTTTGGCAGGATCAGTAGGTTAAAAATTAATTTTTTTTTTGACTTTTTATAAAAAAAATATGTAAAAAATATAGAGATGATGTGATCAAAAATTAAAAAGTTAATTTTTAACCTAGTTATCAAAATAGGTCATAGTTTCTTCCCTGGTAGATTGAAGTGTGGAAATTTTTTTTGCAAAACACTAGAATGAGCTGTCATTTTTTTGTTGAGTAATAATATACAAACGAAAAATGAATAAAAAAAAAACCATTAAAATGTTTCTTAATATTAAAAATACTACTAATGGATGATTTTGCATAAAAATTTTGGAATGATAGCATTTTCTATAGAAGTTTCCGCTGAGGTCTCGAATCAAGAGACTTCTTATCACCAAATAAAATCAAACATGTACTACCAAAAACCAAATCATGTCGGTCAATTTTTGGAGGTCATCGATCAAGGCTTTCATATGACAGCAGAGTATATTTTCAGTCCAAGTTTTGCAATTCTTGTAATGACTTAAAAAAGTCAATCAATCGAAATCAGTCTTCAAAGAGAACCAGAAATAAAATTAGTCATTTGCAGTCCAAATACCCTTCAAAACCAGACTATTCCCGCTGTTTGCCCCCAACATCTCAAACATCCACAACTAATGTGAGTACTGAGAGCATTATGCATCAAAATCTGACGACAGAGATCATATATTATTCACCAACCAACAAGTAGAAGCTTCAAGAGAGCCATCCGAATGTAAAGACCATTCTTCGCTTGTCTAAAGTAGGCAGCCCTTGGATCCTCATCAACGTCCACAGTTATCTGCTTTAGCATCATGAATCATGAAAAATAACAAATGACTAGTCATTGCATTGGAAACATATTGTCCTTATAAAGCTCATCATGCCAGAATCAAGAGCAAAGCGGAAAAGCTAGCTAACCTCATCAAGCCTTGGGAGAGGATGCATCACCACAGCATGCTTTTGCATCGCAGCCAAGACAGCCCGATCTACAATGTACTTGCCTCGAGCTTCTTCATAAAGATCGATTCTCTCTCCAAACCTCTCTCTCTGAATGCGGGTTTGATACACCACATCACATTTAGAAGCAACTTCCATTAGATCATTGCTTTCTTCCCACTCTACTCCCTTTGATGTCAGATACTCTTTTATGTCATCCTGAAAAGAGAGGGCAAAAAAATATGCAACTTATAATATCGATGTTGCTATTAAAGGTTGACAGATTTTTAAGTTTGGATAGTTAATTCACCCCCCACCCCCCCCCAAACGGATTGTTAAAAAAAAAAAAAAAGAGATTGGATTGTTAAAAAGAATGCTGGTTAGAGAAATAGAAACTTGTTTTCTTTTCATACCTTCATTTTTACCACTTTGGGTGACACAAAGTAGATCTTCACATCCTGATACTTAGAGAGCAAATATGCAAGCGATCGGCCTGTCCTTCCATTAGCTAGATCTCCAACAAGTCCAACTTTAATGCCATCTAGCTTTCCTATCTCTCTTTCATGTCACAAATTATCTCTTTGAATATCTACTACTGTGATATTATCTTTTTGCCTGTATCTAACTCGACAATTTAAATTAGGATTAACTCTACTATTCAGATTGTGGAACACAAAGAAGCTTTACGTACATCTAATGCCTTGGAAATTTTGAGCAAGTATCCTTGATAAAATTAATTTGATATGCTATGATTTCCTCTTCATGTTATAGTATATTTGGTATTTTTGGGTCAATAAAGCTGGAATATGTTGATTTCCATGACTGCGATGCTTCCTAGATATGACATAGTAATAGATGCAACAGACAATGCTCCTAGCCTTTATCTAATCAGTGATTGTTGTGTGGTATTGGGTAAGGTAAGCTGGCTGCTATCCTCATTTTCTTTTTATAAAAAAGAAGAAAACTTGTGCAAAGACATTATGAAGTTGACTTATAAATGTTGACTTGTATCTGAATCTGCTTAAAATGATTAAGGTGGCAGACCTTCAGTTCTTCTACTCCTAGTTATTCACTGAATTCTCTTTTAGCTCCATTGTCATATATGTTCATTTATTTATTAGAATCCTAGATTTAAGGACAGATTTGATCAAGCTTGTATGTATTATCCAATGAAATAGTTTAGTCTTCATATGTTAATCTTCTGATTATTAACCTCAATGTTTATGCATGCAGCCTCTTGTATCAGGTGCTACTATAGGATTGGAAGGGCAGGTAAAAAACAGTATTAGCAATTTTCTCACTAATTCCTATATGAACATGTGGAAAACTCTTTATATGGATTTGGGACTACGGAATGTAATTAACTCTTTTTTATATTGTTCAAATTCTTACTGCAACTGTATCCTCAAATCATTTGTGTAGCTTACAGTTTACAATTACAATGGAGGTCCATGTTATCGGTGCCTATTTCCAACTCCACCTCCTACGACAGCATGTCAAAGATGCTCTGATAGTGGTGTTCTGGGAATCGGTAAGCCATTAATATGTTGCGTCTTAGTCCATTCAACTAGAAATATTGCCTACAATCTTGAATATAAAGAGAGAAAAATCTGAGTTTGCCTGGGAGTTGTCCTTTAGTTGTCTGTCCTTGTTTGCATTTCTCGAGTCCCTTGCATATTTCTAGTTTATCTCGTTACTAGAATTTTGATATATTAGCAAGAAGAATGTGCATTCACAAAAGGGGAATGTAAGAGTGATGGACCTGATGGTCAATAACACCCAACTCTACATTTGAAGGCTTTGTCCCAATTGCATAAGTTTTGAAAGGTGAAGTTTAAAGTTTTTTGTTGTTGCATTCCTGGCCATATTTCTAATTTATCTCATTGTGAAATTTTTGATATATTATAAATGGGTATCACAAAAGGGAGTGTAAGTAAGAGTGAAGGTCAAGAACTCTAATTCGACTCGATTTTTTGGATGATGTAATTGGTTAAGCAAGTTTTGTTTCCTTCTATTGGTTGTTTTGTTTTAGTTGCATCATCTTGATGCTTTCTCAATAAAATTTATTATTTATCAAAAAAAAGAACTCTAATTCGACTCTACTTTCAAAGCCATCATGTCAATTGCTTTAAGTTTTGAAAAATGAAGTCATAATTTTTTTTTGTTTCATTCCATAATCTTGGATGTAATCACTTTAATACATTACTAATGTTGACTACCACAACCTGGATGAGCCAAAATTTATGACAGCTCACTGAAAGGTGAAGGCATAGCAAAGGATTGCGGGGTTCCTTTAGAGATTGGGACAAGATCTCAGAAAACCTCAGAGCACAGTGAATAACTGAGAAGATGATCTGCAGATTCTCAGTGCCTTGCAGGATTTGCTGACAACATTGCATATGTGGAATATCATCACCCCATGTGAGGGGTGATCCTCCATGTGCTGCATGAGCTGGCCATGTGAAGCCAGCACACAAGATAGCTGGCCATATGCAAGGCCAGCCTCTCCATCTCCATTCTGATTGAGTATAAATGGAGGCTAAGGGGAGGGTTTGTGTGTGAGTGTAGAGCAAGCCACAGAGAGTGAAATATGTGAGGCAGAGAGACCGTCTCCCTCGGTGTGAGCGAGGGAGACGGGTGAGTGGGTGAGTGAGGAGAGTGTGAGCTCCTCCTCTATTGTAATCTTTCTGTAATATCTCCATTGTTATAGTGATAACCGGCTACTCTCCCGTGGACGTAGGCATTGAGGCCGAACCACGTTAAATATTGTGTCTCCTTGAGTGTGGGTGTGTTTTTCTGCATGTTATGATTTCTGTAAGGTCTTGGGCGGGATCCCAAATCCCAACAATAATTAGTGAAGAAAGTGAATATGCAAGGTATTATATTAGGTAATTGAAGAACACAAAAAGATATATAGTACTTGAGAAACATGTATAATTTTCCTTTATTTAAATACTTATTTTTGGCCTTTTTGGCATCATCTTCATTACTGGATTCCACAATCTTTCGGCTACTACAGGATTCCCATTGTTGGTGATGGGATTAGTTCTCTCATGATGGAGTCCAGCTATACCAGCCGACCACCCTGTTTCACCTAAAGCAGCTAACCCCACTCACTGCTAGGAACCGGACAATAGAATTGAATTGACAGTTATTGTAGACACTTTATTTTGATCATCTATAAAATTTAGGCACCTCCTCCTAGTCACCCGATGATAAAAACAGTAATGAATAAAATCTCAATTTTTTTCACAATTCTCAATTTTTTTAACACAAAAATTGTGAAGGACAAAAGTGTAATTATTTGTGTAATTTTTTCATCACAGTTTTTAACCGTGATAAAAAATTTAAAAATTTGAGATCAAATGTTCGAAGTGTGAGTGATAGTAGCAATAAGATTCCAATTTTGTAAAAAACTGTAACCCTTGTTAAGTTATAATCTCAATTTTAAGAAAAAGATCTCACTTTCCTAAAAAACTGAGATATTTTTCTCAACATACAATTTCACTTATTTGAAAAAAACCGAGATGCTTTTCTCAACAAATTCAATTCATTCATTCGATATTCTACTCGAACCATTTTTTTGGACAAGAAATTTTATTACCAAAATAAAGATAAGTACAATGAACTCAAGACACGGATCTATGATTTTAGGAGATTTTTTTTAAGGTCTAGTATTAAGACTTTATAGCATAAAGGACACTCAATATTTTCATAATGTCTAAGGTCCTTCAACACCAATCCATAGAAAATTCGATCTAGAGAATTTCTCTAGACAAATCACAGAGAAAATTTCAAATTTCTCTGGACACATCACAAAGAAAATTCTAAATTTCTCTGGACAAATCATAGAGAAAATTTTAAATTTCTTTGAACCAACACCAAATTTCTCTGGACAAATCAGAAAACATTCACTCTGGGCATTGCAAAATGTTGCAACGTTGCAATAAAGAGTTATGAAAAACTGAGTGAATAGTTATTGCAAACATAATATATAGATATTACACCTAAATCAAGAAAACATTTTTTTCTTTTCTTTTCAAAAGTCTAGAGCATTTTGAATGACATGACAACACAAGTTAAGTACAGGGATTAATCATAAAACATTCACCTAAAAAACTGTATATCAGTAACTAAACAGCACAAATGATGTACAAACTTTATTACCAAGAAACAACAACAATACCAAAAGTACATATGTACAAGAACGCATTATTTGTGTAGTTGATAGATATAATACAAGCTGTAGAAAGAGGAAATTGAATCAGTTAGACTCAACTTGTCAGAGAAAATTCGTCCAGATTCTCTGGACAAATTTTCTCTAGACTTCACAGAGAAATTCTAGTTCACAGAGATTTTCTCTGGTCCAATTTTCTCTGGACTTCACAGAGAAATTCTGGATCACAGAGAATTTCTCTAGTCGAATTTTCTCTAGACTTCACAGAGAAATTCTGGTTCACAAGGCTTCATTATTATTGAGAATTTCTCTAAACTATAAATTTGAATTGTTGAGAATTTCTCTGGACTATAAATCTGTAATTTATTGCAGGGTGCATTCACAAGGCTCCATTTATCATCTTTCAAACCAGAGAAAATTGAAATTTTTCTCAGTACCAAAAAAATCTAGAGAAAATTGTGTAGAGAAAATTTGTGTGGCTTTGTGTAGCTCTATCTAGGGAAAATTGTATAGAGAAAATCTGTGCGGTTTGTATGGCTTTATCCAGAGAAATTTGTAAGCTCTATTCAGAGAAAATTGTGTTGAGAAAATCTGTGTGGTTTTGTGTGGTTCTATCCAAAGAAATTTGTAAGCTCTATCTAGAGAAAATTGTGTTAAAGAAAATTTGTGTGGCTTTGTCTGGCTCTATCCAGAGAAATTTGTAAGCTCTATTCAGAGAAAATTGTGAAAAGAAAATCTGTGTGGTTTTGTGTGGTTCTATCCAAAGAAATTTGTAAGCTCTATCTAGAGAAAATTGTGTTAAAGAAAATTTGTGTGGCTTTGTCTGGCTCTATCCAGAGAAATTTGTAAGCTCTATTCAGAGAAAATTGTGAAAAGAAAATCTGTGTGGTTTTGTGTGGTTCTATCCAAAGAAATTTGTAAGCTCTATCTAGAGAAAATTGTGTTAAAGAAAATTTGTGTGGCTTTGTCTGGCTCTATCCAGAGAAATTTGTAAGCTCTATTCAGAGAAAATTGTGAAAAGAAAATCTGTGTGGTTTTGTGTGGTTCTATCCAAAGAAATTTGTAAGCTCTATCTAGAGAAAATTGTGTTAAAGAAAATTTGTGTGGCTTTGTCTGGCTCTATCCAGAGAAATTTGTAAGCTCTATTCAGAGAAACGTCTCTGTGTCCGAGATCAAATAAGTCTCGTGCCATCTTAGAGTTTCGCAACACAATTTACGTGAGAATTCTCAAAACTATGGCTCACCCTGAACAACCAGTATTAACCGTCAATCCCTTGATTTCATACACTCTTTAAAACCAAGACTCACTCTGAAAACTGGTATTAACCGTCAATTGTTAACTTTGTATGTGCCTTTAATCCTTTCAATTAATTTTGATATTAATCACAAATAATTCTAATTTTTAATTACAAATAATGTTATACCAACTCATTAAAAATCTCAACATAAAATATTACACATGTCACACAATAATAAATAAATGTACAGCATTTAAATAAATAATTCATTTAAATCATGGTATGAAATAATAATTTGGATACAAAGAAAATAAACCAAAGTCACACACGTGCATGGATTTTTAATTTACAAGATTAGACTACCACAATATTAAATAAACCACAATACATCCATACATGGATTACTAATTTACTATATTTGATGGATTGGACCAACACAATAACTGGTTTTTATCCAAATAAATAATTGAAGTGATGATCTTAAACCTGTCTAGAAATTTTCAGGTTATACCTTAGGTAATAAAAATTATAAATAAATTATTTATACAGTTCTAATATTCAATAAATATGTTTGGGTCATTTTTCAGAAATAAATTCCCCAAAATAAGTTACAAATAATTCTGTAAAATTCCCAAAAATTTTATGACACAGATTTATCACATTTCCTTATTTTAATTTCATGCTTAAATTTATAGATCAAACCCATAATATAAAAATTTATCATGAAACTAGACTTCTCAAATTTCATCTTTTAGTTAGAAATTATCAGATTTGGCTTAGTATAAAATTTTAAATAAATTTTCAAATACATGGTAAAATCTGTCTCATAGTTTCAGATTTAGTTAAAAATTTGTATAAATTCATAGAAAGCTCAAAAATTATTACCAAAATTTCTGGATGAACTAGACATCATTATCAACAACTTTGTAGAATAAATCATCTTGAAATTTTGAGTATAAAATTGTCTAAAAATTCGAGCAACATTCTGGCAGATTCAAAACGGACTATTTTCATCACAGTTTCAAATTTAGTTAGAAATTTGTATAAATTCGTAGAAAGCTCAAAAATTATTACCAAAATTCCTGGATGAACTAGACAACATTATCAACAACTTTGTAGAATAAATCATCTCGAAATTTTGAGTATAAAATTGTCTAAATATTCGAGCAACATTCTGGCAGATTCAAAACAGACTATTTTTATCACAGTTTCAGATTTAGTTAAAAATTTGTATAAATTCGTAAAAAGCTCAAAAATTGTTACCAAAATTCCTGAATGAACTAGACATCATTATCAACAACTTTGTAGAAGAAATCATCTTGAAATTTTGAGTATAAAATTGTCTAAAAATTCGGGCAACATTTTGACAGATTCAAAACAAACTATTTTCATCACAAAATTCCTACACATATATATAAAAATTTTATTTATGAGTAGTCATTTTAATCACAAGGAAGTAATCTGAAAGTTTCACTAATAAAAAGAAATGAGAGGGTTGAGAGGGTTTTCTTACTAAAATCTTCAATTAATGAATTCTTGACCAAATCTTTAACTCCTCTTCAATTCTTCACTTTCCCAAGCTATTTCCTTAGCATTTCTTTACCATTTCCAGCCCATGAATTCTAAGCTTTGAAAACTCTCTCTCAACAATGTCTCAACTCTTAAACCCATTTTTTTTTTTTTTTTTAAATGCTCTCACACCTCATTCTTCCATTACACACCACGTGTGCACATGGACACTAACACATTTCAGAGGCTCCAGCACATCACTCACACGCACACACACCCACAGCAGATTTCTCAATACACCCACATCCATAAACACTCTCACTTCTACACTCTTACATAATTCAATTTATATTTTTGCTTAATTTAATTCAGCAACACTTAATTTTAATAAATCTTGATTAACACATAATTAAATTAATCAAACATAATCACAAATCCCACATAAATTAATTGGTCTAATTTGACTTCCCAATTAATTTTGTTTAATTTTATCATTCTGAATCAGATTTCAAATCAAACTCCCAAAAGGCTCCAAATATCAAATTAAACTTATTGAGCTCATCAATTTTGGTTTCTCAAACCTTTAAGGCCTTCAATTTCAGATCAAACTCAAAATCTTCATCTATAAATTACATATTCAATTGAGCACCTCATAAATAAATTTAGTTCATAATAATCTAAATTATCAAACCTCACAACTCAATTAACTCCAATTCGGACCCAATTGATCAAACCTTAGTTTTATTAAACTGAATCGAATATTTAATTACACTTTCATAGGGTCCAATACTTGAAATTAAACTGATTTAACTTATCAATTTCACCTCCTTAGGCTATTTGGACGTTCAATTTCTAATTCTAAAATAAATCCTTAATAAAATAATTTATAAATAACAAATATTAAACACCCACAAATTATTATTATTTATTTATTTATTATTATTATTATTTTTTATCCTTATTAGTTATTGAATTGGATTAATTTAAAACTAACTTTTACACTAATACATATTTCAGATAGACTCTGGATAAAACTAATTAATTTATTTATTTATCTTCCAGCAGCCAACCGACCTGAGAAACAGAGATGACCGTTTCTTCAATTTTTGAGTCAGTCTGTTGGGTGTGGTTCAGGTTTTGAACCCCTTTAATTCATGGGGTTAAATGAATGCATTACAAATGCTAAAACTGATGTGCATTTAAACTTGGAAACCGAAAACCTAATATCCCCTGTGCTGGTGTCCCATTTAAGCATGAAATCTCCTGCAAAAGTTTGTTGATCATTAATCTGTGTTGATTTAGGAAATCCAAGTTGGAATGGGTCCCGCAGGTGAGCTCCGTTACCCATCATACCCAGAGCAAAATGGAACATGGAAGTTTCCCGGAATTGGAGCCTTTCAGTGTTTTGACAAGGTACTCACTATATTCTTTTCCCCCTTCTTGTCTCCTTATCTTTCATCATATTAAAACCCTATTTTTTCCCTCCCTCCCTGATCTTATACTATCTTGATTACACTCTGCAGTACATGCTCAGTCACTTAAAAGCTGCGGCAGAAGCTAATGGGAAGCCAAAATGGGGAAGTACGGGCCCTACGGATGCTGGTGAATATAACAACTGGCCGGAGGATACAAACTTTTTCCGAAAAGAAGGCGGTGGTTGGAATTGTCCTTACGGTGAATTCTTCCTCACCTGGTATTCTCAGATGCTTCTAGACCATGGTGAAAGAATATTGTTATCAGCCAAATCAACTTTTGAGAATACTGGCGTCAAAATCTCAGTTAAGGTAGCAGGCATTCACTGGCACTATGGGTCTCGATCTCATGCCCCTGAGCTCACAGCAGGGTACTATAACACTCGTTTTAGAGATGGGTACCTTCCAATTGCCCAAATGTTAGCACGCCACGGTGCCATATTCAACTTCACGTGTATTGAGATGAGGGATCAGGAACAGCCACAGGACGCCCAATGTTTGCCGGAAAAACTGGTTAGGCAAGTGGCTTTGGCCACTCGGAAAGCTCAAGTCCCGCTTGCTGGGGAAAATGCGCTGCCACGATACGATGATTATGCACATGAACAGATTTTACAAGCATCCTCATTGAATATTGATGGTGATTCGGGAGAAGAAGATACAGAGATGTGTGCGTTCACGTATTTGAGAATGAACCCGGATTTGTTCCAGCCGGACAATTGGAGACGGTTTGTGGGATTTGTTAAGAAGATGAGGGAAGGGAAGGGCAGTGAGAAGAGGTGTTTGGAGGAGGTGGAGCGGGAGGCCGAGCATTTTGTGCATGTGACTCAACCATTGGTACAGGAAGTTGATGTTGCTCTCATGCACTAAAAGGAAGTTTTTAGGTTAGTTATGTTGTTTCTGTACTCTTTTTAAGGCTAGTTATCCATACAAGGATTATAGTTTACGACAGTGTTGTAATAATGATTAGGTCCATGGACCTCTTTTATAGCTTCTATCTTGATATTGTTTGAACAAAACATATTTCATGTATATGACTCTCTCTGTCTCTCTCTCTGTGTTTTGTGTTCCCTCTTTTTTTCTCTCTCTCTTTCTCTCTCTCATTCTCGCCTCTGTGTTCAAAAGGAAGAAGAAGAAAAAAAACAAAGAAAAGGAAGAAAAAGAAAAAAAAAAATGAAACCCAAAACGACGTTGTTTTGGATTTCGAGCCACAAATTCGAGCCGTTGATTTCAGGCCCTCAATCAATTTTCTTAATATTTTGACTATTTTTTAGTTTTTTTTTTAAATAAATGTAAAAAAACGTAAAGATATGATATGACTTAAAATAGATTAAAAAATTTAACTTTTAATCATGTTCCCAAATTATCACATTACCTCTCATTTTTTTTATTATATTTTTTTCTTAAAGAAATCAAAAATTAGTTTTTTTTTTTTCTTCCAATTCTCAAAATAAACCTGTCTCTAGATTTTATATGACTTTTTATTTTAAAAATATTACTGTCACATAATTTTGATTAAAAATCGTTTAAGTAATAAATTTTGTAACAACATCAATTTTAATGCAAATGTATAGGACTCTCTGGGTTTACTGCATGGGTGGGGATAGAAGTGCTTGGAAACCCTAAGCCAGGATCGAATGTTTTTATATCGGCGGCGGCTGGAGGAGTTGGAATGGTGGCCGGAAAGTTAGCGAAACTTAAAGGCTGTCGAGTTGTTGGAAGCACGGGATCAGATGAAAAGGTACAAGTCACCACTTTTTTGCATGTCACTGTCGCTATTTTTATATGGGATTGCGACAAGGTTAATCATTCCTAGTACTCCAAAAAAGCAATAAATAAATAAAAGAAACCAAATTGCTAATGAACTGATGGTTGATGATTGGATTAAGAAGTGGACTTGTCTGTCTTCAATCTTCAGACAGTCCAGTTTTTTGTTTCTCTGTAGGTTTATCATTAATTTCCTTTTGATCATGTAAATTGTTTATTTTTTAATATTTATATATAGATTATTTTTTAAAAAATAATATTAATTTAATAAATTATTCATTTTTTAAATATTTATATATAGATTATTTTTTAAAAAATAATATTAATTTAATAAATTATTCATTTTTTAAATATTTATATATAGATTATTTTTTAAAAAATAATATTAATTTAATAAATTATTCATTTTTTAAATATTTATATATAGATTATTTTTTAAAAAATAATATTAATTTAATAAATTATTCATTTTTTAAATATTTATATATAGATTATTTTTTAAAAAATAATATTAATTTAATAAATTATTCATTTTTTAAATATTTATATATAGATTATTTTTTAAAAAATAATATTAATTTAATAAATTATTCATTTTTTAAATATTTATATATAGATTATTTTTTAAAAAATAATATTAATTTAATAAATTATTCATTTTTTAAATATTTATATATAGATTATTTTTTAAAAAATAATATTAATTTAATAAATTATTCATTTTTTAAATATTTATATATAGATTATTTTTTAAAAAATAATATTAATTTAATAAATTATTCATTTTTTAAATATTTATATATAGATTATTTTTTAAAAAATAATATTAATTTAATAAATTATTCATTTTTTAAATATTTATATATAGATTATTTTTTAAAAAATAATATTAATTTAATAAATTATTCATTTTTTAAATATTTATATATAGATTATTTTTTAAAAAATAATATTAATTTAATAAATTATTCATTTTTTAAATATTTATATATAGATTATTTTTTAAAAAATAATATTAATTTAATAAATTATTCATTTTTTAAATATTTATATATAGATTATTTTTTAAAAAATAATATTAATTTAATAAATTATTCATTTTTTAAATATTTATATATAGATTATTTTTTTTAATAAGTGTAATAGCATCATTTCAGTATATTTGTCTTTAAGAAATATATTACAACCTTACAAGTATAAATTTAAAAATATACCGTTTAAAAAATTATGTAATTAGATCAATTTAATCCAAACTAGACTTGTAACATGCCACAAACCCAAATTTGTAACTTATTGTTAAAGAAAAATGCCCATATAAAAAAAATGTTAAAGAAAATGATATATAAATTCACTTTAAAAATTTATTTTTTAGATTTAATGATGTATAAGTTATATGATCGGTTGATGATTAAGAAAAATATGAAAAAGAGTGTTTCTTACGTCATTGGGTTTAAAAAGTGAGTCTAATTTGAAAATGGCTAGTTGCTGTGCAGGCATATGGGCTCATTTCAAGGCTCTTTTTAATGATCTAAACCGTTCAAATTTTAAAGTACATCAAGTAAAACATACCTGTAAAAAATAAAATTAATCGGACATTGATAACCATTTCATCGAATTGCATTTGTATCTACAAAAATAAATGATATTTGTGATTTAAAATATAAAAATGAATATAAATGTGAATGGATGAAAGGGTTAACGATATCCGATTAACTTGATTTTTTATAGGTAAGTTTTACTCGATATACTCTAAAATATGAATAATGTAGATTATCAAAATAGAATCATATTGCCGCACAACAGTGACTGTTGTGTCTCCTGTACAACTACTCCATCTCCATTTAATTTTTAGATCTGAATAACAATATTCATTGTTAAAATATATTATACTATATAGTGTTGACACTATATACTCGAAACCAAGATCACAAGTACAGCGAAGAAAGCCTTTATTACTTGAGTAACATATTTTACATATTTATTTACTGGTGTATGCCCGTGCCTAAAGGCACGGTGCAAATAATGATAAAATCAAAATGTAATTGAATATAAAATTGTTAGGTTAAAATATAATTTATTCCATTTGTTGCTAAAAAATTGAAGTCAAAATATAAATCAAGGTTTGGTTAATTTTGAAAAGTTCTTTTTTTTTTTTAAACTTGAAAATAAACATTTCCTAATCAACTATTTAAAGTACGGCAAGTAACTCAATTATAAACATTTTGATTTTATTAACAACCTTTATGACTCTAAAGCATAAACTTCATATCAACACAAAAATTAAAAATAAAAACATCCTTACCAAGCAAGTCAAAAAATAAAATAAAATTTATAGATACAAAATAAAACGCACAAACCAAAGATATTGTACATTTATTAACACAATAATCCAAAAAAAATTACACCAAACAATGCACAACCAATGCTTGACAATTACAAAAAAAAAAAAATCAAATTAAAATTGAATACCAAACAATGCATGCCAGCCAGTGCTCTATAATTTATAAAAAAATTAAAATTGAAATGCACACCAACCAATACTTTGTAATTTAAAAAAAATTAATTTTAAACACCAAGCAATGCACACTTACTAGTGCTATTGCCACAACTCAACATTGTAATAGTTCTTTGCAAATTATAAACCCAAAACTACATGAGAAAAAATATAGGGGAAAAAAAAAATTTAACTTGCCTACATGGTCACATGAGATTTTAAAAAATGTATTCTCAGCACAATCTACACCACATGGAAATAAGAAAAAATCAAGTACAACAACTTACTAATGGTGCAGAGAGACCATATATATTTTGTTCAAACCTTATGTAACACAACAGATATATAAAATCATGGAAACACCTATGTAAGGACTAAATACTACTGTAAATGTTTTGTAAGGTACATCCCTTTTCTAATCACTGATAAATGTGAACGCATACAGGAAAAGATTTCAACTGTTGAAGCAATTATGGATTTAACAATTATAATAGACCTCATCAGTCAGACAATAAGGTATAATAGACCCTAAAAATATATTATATATCTGTATATAAATCAAATAATAACAAAATTCCTTCCACAACATGAGGAGTTTATTCCCAAAACCAACCAACAATAACAATACAAAGTTAATGAAATAAAGAACATCTGTAGGTGTGAAATCAATAATCTTTTGCACTTTTCAATGTTTAAATAAACATCTAAATTTTTCATATACAAAATTGTAGAAAGCCTACTGTTTTAAGCATTCGCTTTAAGTGAATAAATCTTCCCTCTGTAGAGATGAACCTTGAGAGCAGTCTCAAAATGCAAAGCTCAAAAAATATTTGTTTTTCCACTTCTCGTTGTTGCTGAAATGACCATACAACAAATACAACAATTACACCAAATACAAATGCATTCACTCTGCAATGAGTTAAAGTACCTATACAACAAATACAAATGCATAAACAATACCAATTACACCATGTATAGCAACAGAACAATATTTTAGGCATTGTGGGTCAATTCCCTAAAAAAAATTTAGCATCATACATTGTTTGGGAGGCACGGTGTAAAGAAAATTTAGTGTATGCCCGTACCTAAAAGCATGGTGTAAACAAAACAAATGGGAAAAAGATTACAAATGGGAAATAGATTAAAAAAAAAAGTCTGGGAGGCATCCATTGCCACTGGTGGCGACATCATTAGCAGGGAATGAAGGGGATGCGGAGGAGGCACATGTGAGGCGAACAGAGTCGGTGATGGCTTAGGGGTGAACAGCAGTGTTGTAGGTGTAGGGAAAGAAGAGAAAGAGTCAATAGAAGATAGAAGAGGTATGGTGAGAAAGAAGAGAGAAATGGAAATAGTCCTGAAGGCATGGTGTTAATAACGTTAGGATTAGAATATAATTATAATCCCAACACTATTTAATATAATTGTAAATTGTCAATTTTAATATAATTGTAATCCCAACCCTTTTGTATTAAAAGCAGACTCACGAATGAAAATAATATTAAGGTCATGCTTATCGCGAACAACAACATTAACATTTCTTTTTTTGAAGAAATTGAATCTATATACAAAAACTTTATATACATAAATAAGAAAAAAAAAATCATTTCTTTCTTGATATTACTGTTCGGTGCAAGTCTATATCCACCTAAAAGGTATGAGAAACAAAACATTTATAAGAAGAAAATTAGCTATGATAAGTTTAAAATAAATAAATAAATAAGCCTTACATTATAAGAGAGGTACTCGAAGCTTTCCCTAGTCTGTAAGTTTACAATCTCCTTTTCCAAAGGATTTTCACCACCATACATGCACCAAAAATACTATAATTTCCATTTGTGTAGGCACAACAAATCCCATATTTATCATATTCAAATGGCAGACCTGCTGTAGATTTCCTCACTATCAAGTGAACATCTTCATTTGCTCTATGGCTAGATCTACATGTCAAGTTTATGTTTAAAAGATGACTATCCAGTCTTCAATCATTAATTAAGAAAAATAAATAAACGAAGATTGAGCACATTGATACATTTCTAGTATAGCCATCATCAAAGTATCCAATTCAAATTAAAACCAAAATCAAAATTCGTTAGGACTTCACACACAAAATGAAACATCTACACTATTTTAACTACATTAGCAGAATCCAAAAAAAAAAAAAAATACTACAGTTGCGATTCAAACGCATCTGAATATACATAGCACCAATTCAGAAATTCAGGAAATGGAGCTATATGATAATGAATGAAAGGAAAATCTGACTACAAAAACTGAAATGCAGTCTGATCAAAAGAACTACAATGTGCTTATCAAAAAAATATTATAATGGGGTCATTAGTTACTGTTTATCCCTTTTGCTAGGTCGTAAAATTATAGTGCAAGAATTTACATAGCAGACTTGGAACCGCTGCCTGCCTGCTGCCCACACAGAAAACTACTAAAGTGTTGATTCCATACACAATCAAGCCAGTCTGTAAAAGAGAGAATAGGTACACCTCAAAACAGAAAAGAACTTAATGTACTATATGCATCCCTTAACAAACAGTAAGAGGATAAATCATGATCGATCATGATTTGTGACAGGTGATTCAAGAGAATTTGTTATGGATGACTGACGATGAAACACAAATATTGAACAGTGCTTAGATCAATTGAAAGTTAACTCAAGGTTTGGATGTTACATTTGTACAAACAGATAGTGAACATACAGAAATGCACGCAAAACAGACATCAATTTTTTAAGCCCAAAACTCCTACATTAAGTAAACAACTTCAATATCATCTCAGTATTCAACTTCAATATGTAGAAGAATCTAACTAAAGATAGTCTGAAGGGTTTTCATGAACAAATTCAAGCAAACAACTTCAATTATCTAACAGAGGATTGCGTTTAAAACAAAAATCATGCTTACTTGAGTTGGATGCTGTCCTGGACCATCCCCTGCATTAATAACAGGAATACTGGCAGTGGCTGCTGCTCTTTGAGCAGCACCACTTTCAAAGTGCCTCATCACAATTATATCCGAGTACCCTTCAACTGTTCTTATACTATCTGCAAATCAAGCTTCAAAATTAGAACCACAAGGCAACAAATTAAGCACCTAAAATTAAGCATTTGAAAAACTACCTTCAAGTGTCTCTCCTTTTGCAGCGGATGAAAACTCCCTAGCATTTTCTGTTGTCAAAACTTCCCCGCCCAACCGTTTCATAGCAGACTCGAAAGAAAGCCTAGTTCTAGTTGAGGGCTCGTAAAAGAGGGTAGCCATTAAAAACCCATTCAGAATTTGGCTGCCAGCTGAGTTCTTCTCGACCTTCTCCATCTCACGCGCCACTTCAAAAATAGCACTAAGAATATCTCTATCGAATTGCTGAGCTTCAATCACATCATTGAGTTGAAATTTATTCCCAACTGAAAATGAAATCTTATTTTCAACTTTCAGTGCTTGACATTGGACTCTATTTATTGGAAAGAGCCTCCCACTTTGTTCCCAATTTATTGATTTCACATTAGACAAAAACCTTGATTGTGTTAGGTCAGCACATAGAGCAATTAACCTAGGGTTAGACGATTGTTTGAAGAGACTCGAACAATTGAAAATGAACTCTCTGTAGCACTTCATTGATTTAGGGCCGGACACGGAGCCGTGTAATGTACATGTAGAAAATGAAGACGAAGAAGTCATTGCAAGAAAGAGAACAACAATCTATGTTCGTTCAAGAGATTTTCAGCCCCTATAATATAAGAAAAACAATAATAATTAAGAAATGTACTACTGCATGATCAAACTAACCACAAAACTTCCTATTTTAACCAATGAAACTTCTAGTTTAATTTTGGTGAATGACTAGAAGTTAGGGCTATGTTAATTGAAGCTGTACTGTTTGGTTGCTGAGAACATTTTAGAAAGTAGGTAAGAAAAAATATGTATTCAGATGTTGAATCGGTACAATTGCAGGACAGAAAAAACTAACTGCTATCAGGAAAATCGATTGAGATTTCTAATTTTTTTTTTTTTTTTTTCCATTTCGTTTTCTCGACAACCAAACAGAAGGTTACGAAACGTCGAAATAGAGAAAATCGAATCCAGTTCTTATATAAATACAAAATCGATCATAGAATCGGAAATAATAATCGAATTTCTGTATCTGTAAACTTTATTTCAATCGACTCACAAAGATAAACAGATTGATAGAACTAGAATGAATGTATATAAGCATACAGTTCCGCTACGTCGCTCGAAAACTTACCCCCCGAATCCCCCGAAATTGATAAAGCTGAGTTTTGAGATCACTGTCAATCTACCAACACCACGCGCGAAATAGAAGAAGAAAAGAGAGGAGAGGAGAGAAAGAGGAGCCCGTTGAAGAAGAATACCACTGAGATCGACCAGAATACCACTGAGATCGACCACCGACCTGGGTGGCCACCGACGACCAGCAAAAACTCTGCCGAAGTGACTGTGTTGTTCGGCATTTCTTCTTCTGAGGCCTCTGTTTCTTCTTCTTCATTCTGTTTCTTGTCCAAGGGTATGTCTCTATTTCTTCTTCTGAAATCTAGTTCATAGAATGCTGCTGTTTTGTTAGTAATGTATTTATTGATTTAGTAGTGGTAATCTTTGTACATAATTTTATAAAAACCTAGTTGATTTATACATAATTTTATAGAGGGAAATGTTTGAGAACTCGACCGGAGAGAGAATTATGTATAAATCAGCTAGGTATTATCAGACTCCAAAATTATGTTTATAGAAACCTAGTTCAAAAATGGTATTATCCACAAATGGATTTCTGAATTTGTGGACTAACCTAGTTCATTCTGAATTTCTGTGCTATTCATCTATTTGTGGATTTCACAAAAATGAATTTGTCGATTTCAGAATTTCTGTGCTGTTCATCTAATTGTCCAAAGACAATCAAGAAATCCATTTTTGTGGACTAACCTAGTTCATTCTGAATTTTTGTGCTATTCATCTATTTGTGGATTTCACAAAAATGAATTTGTCGATTTCAGAATTTCTGTGCTGTTCATCTAATTGTCCAAAGACAATCAAGAAATCCATTTTTGTGGACTAACCTAGTTCATTCTGAATTTTTGTGCTATTCATCTATTTGTGGATTTCACAAAAATGAATTTGTCGATTTCAGAATTTCTGTGCTGTTCATCTAATTGTCCAAAGACAATCAAGAAATCCATTTTTGTGGACTAACCTAGTTCATTCTGAATTTTTGTGCTATTCATCTATTTGTGGATTTCACAAAAATGAATTTGTCGATTTCAGAATTTCTGTGCTGTTCATCTAATTGTCCAAAGACAATCAAGAAATCCATTTTTGTGGACTAACCTAGTTCATTCTGAATTTTTGTGCTATTCATCTATTTGTGGATTTCACAAAAATGAATTTGTCGATTTCAGAATTTCTGTGCTGTTCATCTAATTGTCCAAAGACAATCAAGAAATCCATTTTTGTGGACTAACCTAGTTCATTCTGAATTTTTGTGCTATTCATCTATTTGTGGATTTCACAAAAATGAATTTGTCGATTTCAGAATTTCTGTGCTGTTCATCTAATTGTCCAAAGACAATCAAGAAATCCATTTTTGTGGACTAACCTAGTTCATTCTGAATTTTTGTGCTATTCATCTATTTGTGGATTTCACAAAAATGAATTTGTCGATTTCAGAATTTCTGTGCTGTTCATCTAATTGTCCAAAGACAATCAAGAAATCCATTTTTGTGGACTAACCTAGTTCATTCTGAATTTTTGTGCTATTCATCTATTTGTGGATTTCACAAAAATGAATTTGTCGATTTCAGAATTTCTGTGCTGTTCATCTAATTGTCCAAAGACAATCAAGAAATCCATTTTTGTGGACTAACCTAGTTCATTCTGAATTTTTGTGCTATTCATCTATTTGTGGATTTCACAAAAATGAATTTGTCGATTTCAGAATTTCTGTGCTGTTCATCTAATTGTCCAAAGACAATCAAGAAATCCATTTTTGTGGACTAACCTAGTTCATTCTGAATTTTTGTGCTATTCATCTATTTGTGGATTTCACAAAAATGAATTTGTCGATTTCAGAATTTCTGTGCTGTTCATCTAATTGTCCAAAGACAATCAAGAAATCCATTTTTGTGGACTAACCTAGTTCATTCTGAATTTTTGTGCTATTCATCTATTTGTGGATTTCACAAAAATGAATTTGTCGATTTCAGAATTTCTGTGCTGTTCATCTAATTGTCCAAAGACAATCAAGAAATCCATTTTTGTGGACTAACCTAGTTCATTCTGAATTTTTGTGCTATTCATCTATTTGTGGATTTCACAAAAATGAATTTGTCGATTTCAGAATTTCTGTGCTGTTCATCTAATTGTCCAAAGACAATCAAGAAATCCATTTTTGTGGACTAACCTAGTTCATTCTGAATTTTTGTGCTATTCATCTATTTGTGGATTTCACAAAAATGAATTTGTCGATTTCAGAATTTCTGTGCTGTTCATCTAATTGTCCAAAGACAATCAAGAAATCCATTTTTGTGGACTAACCTAGTTCATTCTGAATTTTTGTGCTATTCATCTATTTGTGGATTTCACAAAAATGAATTTGTCGATTTCAGAATTTCTGTGCTGTTCATCTAATTGTCCAAAGACAATCAAGAAATCCATTTTTGTGGACTAACCTAGTTCATTCTGAATTTTTGTGCTATTCATCTATTTGTGGATTTCACAAAAATGAATTTGTCGATTTCAGAATTTCTGTGCTGTTCATCTAATTGTCCAAAGACAATCAAGAAATCCATTTTTGTGGACTAACCTAGTTCATTCTGAATTTTTGTGCTATTCATCTATTTGTGGATTTCACAAAAATGAATTTGTCGATTTCAGAATTTCTGTGCTGTTCATCTAATTGTCCAAAGACAATCAAGAAATCCATTTTTGTGGACTAACCTAGTTCATTCTGAATTTTTGTGCTATTCATCTATTTGTGGATTTCACAAAAATGAATTTGTCGATTTCAGAATTTCTGTGCTGTTCATCTAATTGTCCAAAGACAATCAAGAAATCCATTTTTGTGGACTAACCTAGTTCATTCTGAATTTTTGTGCTATTCATCTATTTGTGGATTTCACAAAAATGAATTTGTCGATTTCAGAATTTCTGTGCTGTTCATCTAATTGTCCAAAGACAATCAAGAAATCCATTTTTGTGGACTAACCTAGTTCATTCTGAATTTTTGTGCTATTCATCTATTTGTGGATTTCACAAAAATGAATTTGTCGATTTCAGAATTTCTGTGCTGTTCATCTAATTGTCCAAAGACAATCAAGAAATCCATTTTTGTGGACTAACCTAGTTCATTCTGAATTTTTGTGCTATTCATCTATTTGTGGATTTCACAAAAATGAATTTGTCGATTTCAGAATTTCTGTGCTGTTCATCTAATTGTCCAAAGACAATCAAGAAATCCATTTTTGTGGACTAACCTAGTTCATTCTGAATTTTTGTGCTATTCATCTATTTGTGGATTTCACAAAAATGAATTTGTCGATTTCAGAATTTCTGTGCTGTTCATCTAATTGTCCAAAGACAATCAAGAAATCCATTTTTGTGGACTAACCTAGTTCATTCTGAATTTTTGTGCTATTCATCTATTTGTGGATTTCACAAAAATGAATTTGTCGATTTCAGAATTTCTGTGCTGTTCATCTAATTGTCCAAAGACAATCAAGAAATCCATTTTTGTGGACTAACCTAGTTCATTCTGAATTTTTGTGCTATTCATCTATTTGTGGATTTCACAAAAATGAATTTGTCGATTTCAGAATTTCTGTGCTGTTCATCTAATTGTCCAAAGACAATCAAGAAATCCATTTTTGTGGACTAACCTAGTTCATTCTGAATTTTTGTGCTATTCATCTATTTGTGGATTTCACAAAAATGAATTTGTCGATTTCAGAATTTCTGTGCTGTTCATCTAATTGTCCAAAGACAATCAAGAAATCCATTTTTGTGGACTAACCTAGTTCATTCTGAATTTTTGTGCTATTCATCTATTTGTGGATTTCACAAAAATGAATTTGTCGATTTCAGAATTTCTGTGCTGTTCATCTAATTGTCCAAAGACAATCAAGAAATCCATTTTTGTGGACTAACCTAGTTCATTCTGAATTTTTGTGCTATTCATCTATTTGTGGATTTCACAAAAATGAATTTGTCGATTTCAGAATTTCTGTGCTGTTCATCTAATTGTCCAAAGACAATCAAGAAATCCATTTTTGTGGACTAACCTAGTTCATTCTGAATTTTTGTGCTATTCATCTATTTGTGGATTTCACAAAAATGAATTTGTCGATTTCAGAATTTCTGTGCTGTTCATCTAATTGTCCAAAGACAATCAAGAAATCCATTTTTGTGGACTAACCTAGTTCATTCTGAATTTTTGTGCTATTCATCTATTTGTGGATTTCACAAAAATGAATTTGTCGATTTCAGAATTTCTGTGCTGTTCATCTAATTGTCCAAAGACAATCAAGAAATCCATTTTTGTGGACTAACCTAGTTCATTCTGAATTTTTGTGCTATTCATCTATTTGTGGATTTCACAAAAATGAATTTGTCGATTTCAGAATTTCTGTGCTGTTCATCTAATTGTCCAAAGACAATCAAGAAATCCATTTTTGTGGACTAACCTAGTTCATTCTGAATTTTTGTGCTATTCATCTATTTGTGGATTTCACAAAAATGAATTTGTCGATTTCAGAATTTCTGTGCTGTTCATCTAATTGTCCAAAGACAATCAAGAAATCCATTTTTGTGGACTAACCTAGTTCATTCTGAATTTTTGTGCTATTCATCTATTTGTGGATTTCACAAAAATGAATTTGTCGATTTCAGAATTTCTGTGCTGTTCATCTAATTGTCCAAAGACAATCAAGAAATCCATTTTTGTGGACTAACCTAGTTCATTCTGAATTTTTGTGCTATTCATCTATTTGTGGATTTCACAAAAATGAATTTGTCGATTTCAGAATTTCTGTGCTGTTCATCTAATTGTCCAAAGACAATCAAGAAATCCATTTTTGTGGACTAACCTAGTTCATTCTGAATTTTTGTGCTATTCATCTATTTGTGGATTTCACAAAAATGAATTTGTCGATTTCAGAATTTCTGTG